GGCCAGCGAGGGCAAGCCACGGGAGCAATCAAGGACACTCAGAGAGCAGGGGGGGGCGGGGGGGCCGCGGGAGGAGCAGGACAGCGATCCCAAGGAGGGAAAGGAAGGGAGACTGCAGCTCTGGAAGGGGCCCTGAGTTCCTGCTGCAGGGGGAGGGGGCAGGGGGGAGAACGGAGATGGACGGGGAGTCCGGGACCCAAAAAGAGGGGGAGATGAGGGGAGAAACCGAAGGGGGCCCGCGGGGGTGGGTGGAAGGGAGCACATGCTCAGGTGGCCGGCCAGGCAGAGCCCACACGGATCCCAGAGCGGGGTGGGGGGCACGCTGGGGGCGGGACGGCAGGGCTCCTAGCACAGGCCGGGCCACACTCCGCACAAGGGCAAGGCCTACCACATGACCCCGGAGGTCCTCTTCTGGAAAAGGCTGTGACAGGGAGCAGCTCCCTGCCCCGCCCCTCCCCTCTCCCACCCTCCCCACCCCCGGACCAGCCCCCCCGCCCCCACACACGCCCCACAGAGAGGGCAGACCACAGACCTGAGAGGTACTTTAATTTGAAACTGCTGTGAACTGGGGCGGGGAGAGGGGGGCAAAAGAACAGGGAGAGGAAGCCTTGGCTGAGGGCGGGCAGGAGGGAACCGGCTTGGCCACAGCTCCCTGGCTGCGAAGGCACCAGCTGCCCCTCTGCTACAGAGATGCTGGGCTCCGCCTGCCCGACAGCGCAGGGTCCGGGAAGAGCCCGAGCCGGGGCCAGCCCCCGGCCCTGCCGACAGCCACGGCCGTGCGAAGGGGAGCGGTGTGTGTAACAACTCACTTCAGAGGCTCTGGCCCTTGTCAGCCAGGGACCGCATGGCCGCTGAAACAGAGACAGGCGTCAGCAGGCCCTCCAGCCCCGGGGAGAGAGAAACCCGTGCCCCTTCCCTGACGGGAACCACCTAGCCCTGCGACCCGAGAACCCCTCCAGCCCTGGGCCTGAATCCCTCACCCACCACCTCAATTCCATATGGACACGTCCTCTAAGGGAACAAGATGCGGCCAGTAGTTCTCTAGCTTTGGGGCACATCGGACTCGTTCACCTACGGAGCCGACACACGCACGCACGCGCACGAAGACGCACACGAACACACACCTTGCAAGCCATACCAAGGAGCAGTTAAAGGGAAAATGAAGGAGGCATCTGCAAACGTCCTAGAAGAGGGAGACCTCTGGGACCTGTTCGCGCCGGCAGAGCGTGCACGCAGTCGAGGCAGGGCTTCCCCGTTTGTGCACACACCCAGCTGCACACGCACAGCAGGCTCCGGGGCCAGGCCTGCCAGGTCCTCCTCCCCACAGGAATGCTGGTCCCTGGGAGGCCGCCTGCACCTGCAGCCCATCCTGGGTTCGGCACCAAGGACGCCCCCCCCAGCCCCCCCAGCCTGCCTCTGCCCCAACCCGGCCCCGGCCCGAGCTTCCTCATACCAAGCTGCTCTTTAAGGTCGTCTATTTCTCTCTGTAGCACGAGACACTAGGCCCGCAGACAGCAGAGAGAGAGAGAGAGAGAGAGAGAGAGAGAGAGAGAAACCATTAGTATCCTCTGGCTTCCTCTCTCCTCGACCTCCCCCTCTCCCACGGGCACTACGGCCCCAAGCCCAGTGGCTAGACCCGCACAGGCTCCTCAGTGGAAAGGGGGCGCCTTCCCTCTGTGGGGAGCGGACGGGAGTGGGGGAACATCTATGTCAGTCTAGCCTGGACCCGGATCCCACCCTCCGGTTTGGGCCCGCATTCCTAGGAGCCCCGGGGAGCGTTACCCGCAGACAGCCCTGCGCGCCAGCCGGTGGTTCCTGCTGCCTTCCTGGCCTTGCGGGCTGGCCCGGCGGCTCCTGGTCACCTGCGAGGGAAAGGACATCCGACCCAGCTTCCCAGGCCCCCAGGGAGCTGCAAAGGGCCTTGGCGGGGTGGAACGTGAGGCAGCACCACCCTCTGCTGGCGACAAGTGGCCCCTGCTCTGGCCGCAGCGGCAACCTTCTCTCGGGGCCCGTCCCCCCGCCCCCCAGGGGCAGCCCACCCTTGAAGGTGGCCCCCCGGGGACTGGGGCTCTGGCTTGGACTCTCCCAGAGCGGCAGCACAGCCAGCGCCTGGGGCGAGCCACGTGGCCAAACAGGACGAACAGAATGTAAGGCTCTGCTCTGCGGAAAGTCTGTGTCCGGGGCT